GGTGCAGGCGCTGCAGGGGCGGCGGGCTCCCGCGCACACCGGGAAGACGCCTGAGCGACTCGGGAAAGGCTGCTCCCCGCCCCTGGCGTGACGTCTGGGAAAGCCAGGCGCCAGACTGCAGGCATCCGGGGTGGGGGTGCGGCGGGGACAGACTGGCCATGAGATGAGCCCGGGACCAGGTGGTGGCAGGCAGCTGCGTGGAGATGCGCGGTGACGCCGGCTAGGCGAGCGAGGCTCCTCAGCGGCAGCACCGGCGAGCGTGGCCGGGGCCCCTGTCCTGGAGGGAGGCGGCTTCCTCAGGGTCTGGGCACCAGCGTGTGGGCCCCGCTCTCCAGCTCAGGCCGCAGGGGTCATGCCGGACAGTTCGGCCTTTCTCCCGGCCTCAGAGCTGTCGCCGTGACTCCCGTCAGAGGGCTGCCGGGTGAAGCGGTGCCCGGCTCCTGGGCCAGTGATCACGCTGGGGTCTGCCGCTGGGCCCCGACTCCAGACCCGGGACCAGTTTGATCACGTGACCGGCCTCGACTTGCTCACTGTGGAGCGAGCGGGTGAGGGCCAGGCCACGCTGCGGCGAGCGCTGTCTGCCCCTCCCGGGGCCGGAATCGCTGGTTTTCCGGGCCGTGGCGCCTGGCGCTCCGGCGCCCCAGCACAGGCAGGCTGGTTGGGGAGGCCGCGGTCGCCCCGCTCCTCGCCCGTCCCTGTGGTATAGAGCAGAGGCACTCCCAGCGGAGTGGCCTGGCCGGCCAGAGGGCTGGCTGGACGGGCGGCGAGTCTACGTGGCAGCCATGTGGAACGGCTGAGGCTTTCTGGGGCCCGCTGTGCCCGACTCGACTCGCTTGTGTCATGACGGTCAGGCCGCGTCCACTCAGTACCAAGCCAGACGTTTCGGGCCGGCCCGTGTCCCTTCCTGTCTTCATTTTCTTCTTGTCCGCAGGCCTTGTCCACCCTGGACTCCATTAAGCTGATGTACCCGTTCTTTTACCGGCCCATGTTTGAGGTGGTCGAGGACGGCTGGCACTCCTTCCTGCCCGAGCAAGAGTTTGAACTCCACTCTGCCGCTGTGAGTAGCTTCAGACCCGGGCGACGGGAAGCAGCCCCTGCTTCTCCTGGGACAGCGGCCCTCCCCTCGGCGTGGCGGGCGCGCCGGCCCGGGCCTGGCGGGCGGGCTGCCCCAGAGGTCGCCTTTTCAGTTTGGAAAGTGACGTCGGTCGACATCAAGCTCCCGTATAGTCCTGGCACGTTCTGAGCGAACTGATGGGTGCTGTCAACAGTCTCCCCAGAAACACCTTTCTGGGGAGCAGCCGGGCGCTGGGCCCTGGGGCGGCCGGCGTGTCCCCCGGCGCCTTTGTTTCGGGGACTCGGGTGGCGTGTTGTCATCTGGGCCGCCGAGACCCGTGACGAGAACCGGCTTCTGTCCTCACCTGTCCCGCTTCCCCCGCGGTCTCAGGCCGCGCGTGGTCGGGGGGCTCGGGACAAGGGGCGGGGCGCGCAGCTGACCACAGTGCCCCGCAGCCGCGCTGGCGCCTGGCCCCTGGGGCCGCTCTTGGGCACAGCCTTAGGCCCGAGTGTGCGGGGCCGTGGACGGAGCCCCGGCGTCGCTGTCACCCTTCCCTGGCGCTGGGCCCGCCTGCTCTGCCCTGCCTCAGCCCTCCCGCAGTTCTCACGGATGCTCCGGGGACCCCGCGGGAGGCCGACGGGAGGCCTCAGCCCGCCTCAGGGCGGCCCGCGCCGGTGCCGGCGGTCCTGTTACCGGCACGGAGTAAAGCCCTGTGTTGCTGAGTGACTGTCCCTGCCTTTTTTTACTGAGATTCAGCGTTTCTTTCTTAGTAGGGATTTAGTTTTTGGCTTAAGCTGATTATTTAAGTAATTTGTATATTTGAAGTTCTGCTGCTAGCCCGCAATTTTGTGATCCAGAGACTTGACGAGAACATCTTCTGGGCTTGGCTGAAGGCTTACTGTGGCTGAATTCTGGAGGTGAGCAGAGCATGGGCCTGTCCCGCTGTGCAGAGCCGCATGCTCTGAGGGGTCGAGGACCGCAGCTAAGTGCTGCCGAAAGCGCCCACCGGGCGCGGAAGTGACATCATGAGATGCGGGTTACAGAAGACGAATTCTGACACACAGCGCCGGGAGGCTGCGGACCAGGCCGCTGTCGCCAGATGAAGTGGCCGATGAGCGCAGGGTCGCACGCGGGCAGGGTGCCAGGAGCGGAACCGAGCACGGCGGGCGCCCCGCCCCCCGGTGAGAAGCCCCGAGGTAGCAGAGAGGACCCGTGCCTGGCGGGGCGAGCCCGGCCCGGGCCAGGCGCGGTGAATGCCACGGGCCTGAGGCCCTCGTCGGTGGGCCATCCCGAGGCGGCTTGAAGGCCGCGTCCAGGGCAGTGACAGTGGCCGACGTGTGCGTGCAGCAACGGCAGGGAGAGGCGGAGACCGGCAACGAGGATAACGTCGTAGGGTCAAGGGAAACTCGACCCCTAGCCCTCTGGGCGCGCCAACCCCGGCTTGTCTGCGGCGGCTCCGGTTTCCGGAATATACCAACACTATGTATGACTTTTCGTGCTATCAGAAGCTTGCACATCCTTGAGGTGGTTCTCAATTCTGACGGCTTGAAATGAGTTGCGACTCGAGTGTGCATTGATGCTCCTGTCCTGGGAGCCCAAGCGTAACCTTCTCGGCGTGGTCGTTCCGTTGTGGGATTCTCCTGCCCCCACGTCACTCTCCGTTTGCGCCAGCAGGCAGGAGCGAGGGGCAGACGCAGGTGGCACCTGGGCCGTCACAGGCTCCCCACGGCCACGCCGTCACCAAGTCCGGTCTGAGCAGCGTGAGCGCCACGAGCCGCCCTGCCCGCCGTGGGCACACCGCAGATGTAACCCGGGAGTAGAAGGCTGAGGCGAGCAGCCGTCTTTCAGGCACTGACGGGAGCCCTGGCGCACAGGGCACTTGTAGCGCAGTCAGAGGACAGCAGCAGAGGGCTCGCAGGGCCCCGGCTACGGACGGCGGCAGAACTTTCCAGGAAATAGGTTGCCTCGAGACGCGGCCACCGACGCTTCCCGGCCCGGCGTGGGGCGGCCGGGGCCCTCTGCCTGCCTTCCGAGAGGGCTTCCCGCTGTGCCGGGGCCTGGGAGACGCTCGGGTTGTTCACTGGCGTTGGCACGGCGGCTCAGTCTCGAGGCGCTTCTGTGTTTTGCAGACCAGCGAGTGGAGGCTCAGCTACGTCAACAAGGAGTTCGCGGTCTGCGCCTCCTACCCGCCCATCGTCGTGGTGCCCAAAGCCGTCGACGACGAGGCGCTGCGGAAGGTGGCTGCCTTTCGCCACGGTGGCCGCTTCCCCGTGCTCAGCTATTACCACAAAAAGAACGGAATGGTGAGTCCCGGCTGCTGCCGGGCCGCGAGGCCTGGGTCGAGGGCCTTTTCTCAGAAACGCTCCCCCTCCGCACGGAAGCGGCTCCTCTCTCCTCCAAGCTTCAGCCTGCTTAACTGTAGGGAGTCCGGGTCGGGGGTTTTCAATGATCGGGATGGGACTTGGAACCCTGTGTGTGACGCTGCCGGCCTTGGGGCCCCCAGGAGGGCTCCTCGTCGGGCCTCGGCTCCGAGCGCTGGCACGATGGGTGCCCGCGCAGGCAGGCCCGCCGCGAGCAGGATGGCGGAGCAGGTTCCCTGCTAACGTGGGCTGGGCTGACGGTTTCCTTTCAGAAGGAACAAGAGGTGACCACGACAGCCAGGGCCTGGGGCGACGGGTCACGGGAGACTGACAGGACTGTACACAGGCGGACATGTCCACTTGGCACAAAAATAAACATGAGCGTAAGAAAAAAGGGACAGAGAAAAAGACGTGACTTGAGTGGCTCCGGGCAGCGGCGCGGTCCCCCCCCCCGGGTCCCCCAGAGCCCGCAGACCCGGCTCCCTCCTCTTTCACCCCGCCCCTAAACTCTGCTTCTGCTCGACCCAGTGGACCCAGTCGCCAAGCTGGCCCCTCCCCCGGCCGCGCGGCATTCACGGTGCGGAGTCGGCAGCCGGCTGCTTCCGCGGCTGCCCAGGGCCGAGCTGCCCGCTGGCGTACCCCGAGCGGTTGGCGCTGGCGCGAGCTGGGCCATCATGCCCACCGTGACAGGCGCCTGAAAGCCAGCCCTGGCCATCCTCAGGTGGCCTCTGTTGGTCACATTAAGGTACCTGTATTTTGGGGTGTCGTGAAATAACTCTTACAGCACCTGCCAGAGTAAAGGTCGGTGCGTTAGGGGTGCCTTCTCGAGACGAGTCTGAAAGCCAGCCCTGCCAGACCGCCCTGCGCATGCAGCACCCCGCCCAGGTCCTGAGAGGGTGGCGGGCCGAGGACGAGCGACGGCAGCCCCTCAGGGAATGCGACTGACCCCGCCCCAGGTCCCTCTGCAGCGCCCCGCTGCTGTTGCCCGTTCTCTGCAGACGCTTTGTGAAACCCGCCACGTTTAGGTAGGGAAAATGCCCTAACGCTTCGGCGTGGTGACGTCTCCTCTGCCCGCCGACCGCTGGGGATTCCGCCTACGGCCACTCGGATTTCAGTGTCTGCTCTCACGCGGGTCTGCGTGACGGGAAGGAAGTGGGGAGAGCCGAGCGGCCCGCGAGGCTCGCTTCTGCGTCGGTGTCTGAGTCGGCACACAGAAGTAGCTTCGCGTTTCAGGACCAGGCCACGGCCAAGCGTCACGCGACTGCTTTTGATCTTCTCTTAACTTAGCGAGTTCACTCTTCAGAAACCTCCGTTTCTAACGCGAGCCCCCGTTTGCCCCGAGGTCATCCTGCGGAGCGGCCAGCCGCTCACCGGCACCAACGGTAGGCGGTGCAAGGAAGACGAGAAGCTGATAAACGCCGCCCTCAGGGCGGGCAAGCGCGGCTACATCGTGGACACCCGGGCCCTCAGCGTGGCCCAGCAGGCCCGGGCCCGAGGCGGCGGCTTCGAGCAGGAAGCCCACTATCCCCAGTGGCGGCGGATGCACAAGTCCATCGAGAGGTGAGAGGCGCTGGGGACGGGCGGCTTACTGGGAGCTGATGAGCTCCTTGGAGCCGGAAATCGGGGGGCTAGGGGAGCCCCCGCGTGAGCAGAAAGAGGGCGCGGAAGCACGCCGTGAGTCAGGCCGCACGCTCCCCAGCCGGCGGGGCCGCCTGCCCGCAGGCTGCTCCCCCGCGCCCACGTCAGCCGGTCACCAGACGCCAGGGACCCCCACGCTCCCAAGGCAGAGGTAGAGGTTTAGCGCCCCAAACGCCTCCGTCTATCCCCCACCCCGCCTGTGTCAGCTCTTGCGACACTCGACGTGGCGGCCACGAAGCCTCCCGGGCGGGTGGGAGGTGAGCTGGTGGCAGTGGGGTCTGAGCCGGCCCAGGGCAGCCCCTGCAGGCAGGGGCAGTGGGAGGTGGCCGGGGGGGCCGGGAGAGGACCGCGGGTGTCCTGCCCGCCTCGCCGCTGCCGCGGGAGGCCGACCCTGGCGGGCTGGCCGTCGGTCCTTAGCGGGTGGCTCGTTCCTGGCCCTCGGCACGCGCCGTGCTCGCGGGTGGACCGAAGGCTACGTCTCGGTGTGGTTTCTTGTTTCCCTTCTCTTGTGTTGGACAGGTACCACATCCTGCAGGAGAGCCTCGTCAAACTCGTAGAAGCCTGTAACGACCAGTCCCATAACATGGACCGATGGCTCGGCAAACTGGAGGCCTCCAACTGGCTCACGCACATCAAGGAGATTCTGACCACCGCCTGCCTGGCCGCACAGTGTGTGGACCGGTGAGGAGCCCGGGCGGGGCGGGGCGGGGCGGGGCGCGTGTGTGCCGCACAAAGGCTCAGGCGACTGTTCGCAGGAAGGGCGGCGCGTGCCCGGCGCAGCTCTGAGGGCGCCAGCTGCAAGGCGGGCTGCGGAGCCTGCGGGCTCTCCCGCTGTGCTTCGACTTCCCCGGGCAGCTCTCCGCAGAGCCCCGACTCGGACCCCAGCGGCCCCTGGGCCGAGCGGCCGCGTCGGGCGTGGCGAGGCTGCGGGGCCCGCGGTGACGGTGCGGCCGCTGTGCTCTGGGTCGCCTCCAGGGAAGGAGCGTCCGTCTTGATTCACGGAACAGAAGGAACCGATTCCACGCTGCAGGTGACCTCCCTGGCCCAGATCATCCTGGAGCCACGAAGCAGGACCATCCGCGGCTTCGAGGCCCTGGTGGAGAGAGAGTGGCTGCAGGTGAGGGCGGCGTGCTCACCGGTGGCGGGCGCAGCCCTGCGCCCTCACTGCCGCGTCTCCCGGAGCAACACGGTGCCCGGACGCGCTCGCTACCCCCGGCACCGGCTCCGCCCCCTCCTCTCGCCCGCCCGCGTCACAGCCTCCAGCGCACCCGGGGCGCGGGCCGGGCAGGCGTGGGCTGGAGCGACCAGGCGGACGCTTCAGCCCCTCCCGCCTTCGCCGCCCCGCCGGTCCTCTTCTCCGGGCGGGCAGCTGTCTGAGGTCCCCGAGTGTCGCTGTCCTCGGGAGTCCTCGGGAGCTAGCCCTCCCTCGCGGTGGCTCTTCTGAACTGGGCCCGGACGCAGCGAGGGCAGCGGCCAGCCAGCCCATGTGTATCCCCGGCAGCCCGGGCTGTCCGGTGCCGACGGACAGGGCAGCGGCGACCGCGGGTGTCCGTAGGCGGTCACTTAGTCAGCAGCGTGCTGGAAGCGACTGTGCGGCAGCGTCGAGCGTGAGATCTGGAGAGGGGTCCCGTCTTGTCCCTAGTGGATACCGTTGTTATCACGCGTCCTGTTCCGCAGACTACCTGCCCGGTGGCTGACCATCTCTGCTTGAGTCAGGCCTTCCACGTTAGACACACCTTCCACGTTAGGTGACCCCCTCCGCAGCCACAGCCCTCGAGCGGCACAGCCCATAGGCCTCCCGGCCTCCGCGTCGCCATTTTAGTGGGCCTGAGGGTCCGCTGGCCGCTGGGCAGCTCCCTTTGCCAGGTAAAGCAGTAAGAGGGCCCAGAGGAGAGCAGGTGTGTGAGATTCGGGGACCTGCCATTGCGGGGAGGTCGGTCCTGGGGTTCTGGGCGAGGTCCAGCTGACCTCCTTTGGTCAGTGGGTGGCAGGCCCTCCCAGCCCTGTTGGGAGAAGGGGCCCGAAGCCGGAGCGTGCCTCTGCCGGGACGCTCACGCGGGTCAGCGATTCTCTCCCTGTCACAAGGTTTCACACCGCGACTGCCCTGCAGTTTGTCTGTGAGACGCCCACGGCTGTCCACTTAGCGGCAAGGCAGTGGACGCAGCTCCCGGCAGTCCGCTGTTTGGGGTGAAGAGAGGCTGTGACCGACTCTGTCTCGCACCCAAAAGCTTGTCAGCTGGCCTGGGTGACAGCCGCGTGTCGGCGGCTCCTGGGCCTGTCGGTCCTCTGCCTGCTGTCCCAGGGACAGTGCAGGTCCGTGGCCGCGTCTT